AAATAATCTGGACAGCTTTGAGCAGGCTTTCTATTTCAGCTGAACATACATTAATTCTTGTGCTTGATAGGGTTATTTTCCTTCAGAGGAAGAGCTCTGACTTTATTAACAACGATGGTGATGCAGTTCATCTCTCATGGCAACCCTGAGATAGTTACTTTGGTGTGTTTGGATGTGCTCTGTAATGGAAGAGATTTTCTGTGCTCACAGCTGCAGCTCATTTCCCCCACCCATACAAAAAACCCAAACAGTGTTACTTAAGAAATTTCTTAAACCCTAGCATAGTGTCCTTTTTTCTTCTTACTGTCTTGACATAATTTGTAGGGCTACCTTTGGTTTCTCCCTAAGAAAAGTCACAGTTTATATTTTCTACTGCTGACTATATCCTCCCTATCTCATATTCTCCATGCCTGTGTAACCTCAGAAGGTCTTCGTTAAGTACAGAACAGCAGTGTTCTTTGCTGTTATTACCTGGTTGTCTGGAACTCCGAGTGTGCAGAAGTTCCTGTTGCTTGTTGCCCCCCAAAAAAGCACGTCTTCAGGGTAAAAGCCCTTAGCACAGCCTGGTAGCTCAAAACGTTTTCCTCTGACACTCCTCAGACCTTCAGTACAACATTATTCCTTTTTTTGGCTTTAATTGATAGCATGCTCCATACACAAAAGGCAGCAAGTACAACAGCATATTAAAAAAAAAACAACCCACAAAACCAAAAAACAACCACCAAAAGAACAAAAAAAGAATCACAAACCTACTGCTTACAACACTTTCAAACCAAGTTGCTTCCCCGTAGCCCTTTTTATATACAGCTGAGCTAGAGCTGCTTAGGTTCACCTGGGAACATACTTGGGGTTTCAGCTGAGTAACGCTGCCATGCCAGTCTTCCCTAGGCTTTTGAGGATGGACTTGTAGACAGAGAGTCAATGCATAAGCATGACATTCTTAGGAAGCCCCAGATTTCTAAGTGTGTTCAGAGCTTAAATACTGTTCTTACTAATGCCCTGATGTTCTCATATTCATGCTTTCTTTAATTTACACAATATCAGGGTCGTACTATTTAAGTTTACATGGTTAGGTTTGTAGTGGAGAGCAAGCTTTAATAGCTTCCAAAGTTTTCCAAGGGAATTCTTCAGAAGCAAAGATGGCAAGAAATTATTTTTTGGTCCCACTTGAATAGAAAAGAAACTGAGTGCCCGTATTCTGCTCATGTCACACCTGTGGTGGCTGACTTATAGCAAAGGCCTTGCTTGAACCCATAGTGTGCAGCTCTGCAAAAGCTCAAGCTGACCAAAATCAGTGCTAATTCAGTTCCCACATCCCTGGCTGGGTCTCCCAGCTTTGTTCCGTGCAACAGTGCTAATACACATCTCGTTTTGGGGTTAACTGATTCAGGGACCTTGGTGTAGCTCCCTGAAGACCGAGCAAAAATAGGTTGGGATTTTTGGATGCTGGTTTTGTTCCAGGACAAGCAGAGGGAGAGATGGGAATGATAGGGGTTGGGAACCGAGGCAGGATTAATTTTTGCTTCAAAAAAATACATGTGCTGGATTTCAAGTCTTGCTTGATGTTGTTGTTACACAGAAGAAAAAAAAAGTATATTTCATTTAGGTTTGTTTTCCCTTTTCTGTAACTGGAAATTATACCAATGCTCATTTGACTCACTACTATTTCAAAATAATATTCAAATGACTAATATCTGAAAAATGTGCATGTCGTTTGACTCGTAGTTCAGGCCTCATTTCATTGGAGAGCCTCTGACTGCCGCAGATTGCTTTAAACTGGCAGAGCACTTCTCATAACGAGTGATATTTCAATATAATTTAATTGGGTTCCCTGCCAAGGAGGAAACTGTAATCCTGAAGCTTTTTGATGGTGTCACCTGGTCAGTGGTCATCGCTTGGCCTGCGGGCAGGTATGGATGGGTAGGGGGTGACTCAGATGGTCTAACCACCGTGGTTTTAAAGTCTTCATCACCCAGCCCTGGGATATTTGTCCAACTTTTGCCCCATTGCGAGGGGCGAGGCTGCTGGGGTCTGGCAGTGGGAGCGGCAAGCCCCGCTCTGGTTTCCAGCGAGGCTGCTCAGCAGCTGGAGGAGACCGCTGATGCTTCAAGACTCTGAATCAACGTGCGTGTGAGAGCAAGGAGCCCTGGCTGGACTGAGCCTTCCTGAGCTGTTAGCCATCTGTGTCTGGTTTGCGATGAAACGGCAAGCAGAAATACACATAATTTCCCACTAGCTTTTTTAGCTGGAAATGAGAAGGGCTCTGCCATAGGAAGTGACCGTGGCCAGAGCTTCTGCCAGCAGTATGCGGTACAGGGAAAGAGTTTCACTAGGCAGAAGCTGAAATGTAAATCTGCCTGGGTCTGTTACTACTGTAGTATTATGCTGCAGAAAATAAAAATGGGAGCGTGAGGACCCGGTATGCACAGTGTGTTTCACAGAGCTCTAAACCAGATGCTGATGCTGGGTGTTGGACAGCCAAGTTTGCGACGGTCTAGGTCCAGCTGTGGTGGAAGTACAGATCATTTTAAGATACGACAGATTAAAAAGCAGAATGAAGACCTGTCCTGGGTCATTTCACATGCTTGATGATTAAGTCTTAAAGATGCAAAAAAACTCTCTTCTGCCATAAACCTTTAATCTTCTGTTGGTATTCTGCTTGATTTTCACCACCCAGCCTTTAGGTTTCCCCACTTCTAATCTGCAGCATGCCTTGTGGATGAAATAAATGTTGTCAGGTAATGAAATCTCATTCTCTATGAAAGGGTCATTGCAGGTAATCCTGTGACAGTTACGTGACAGCTTTGCTTGTTGCAAAACTAGCGTGCTGCGTTTTGGGGTGGACAGGCTTGCTCTCTTTATTCCATGGCCGAAATGCTAGGCCTGTGCTCTTGATTCGGGTATATATCACGTAAAATTAGCATGCTAGATAATACACTTGGTGCTACTTGAAGTAACGAGGCTTTGATGCAAAGTGCGGCAGCGTTGGGTGTGTTTCCTCGCAGGCTTTGGGGCTGGGTCTGTGCTCTCCCAGCGGTCAGGTCTTGACCCCCCATCCCGGCAGCGATTCACGGCTCTCCTGGATGTCTCTCTTCGGCTCCAGGGGTCTAGCAAAATCCAGGAAGAGCCGTGTCGAGACTTGCTGGAGCGTGGATTAGTTTCATACGTGTCTAAGGGCAAGGATGCCTGGGAGAAAAGGTGCAACAGGGCTCTTGTGGCTCTCGGCAGGGGCTGTGAGGCATTTATTCTTGGGGCCAGGGCTGCTCCCCGCTTCTGCATGTGCACATATTTAATGGTGAAGGTAAGTCCAGAAAAAACCAAGCACCAGAGGTTTAGCACTCCTGAAGCACAGCCTGTAACACTGATTGTGTCGGGAAGTACTGTTCCCAGTTTGGGGGTTCTGAAACGAAGATCGAAGGATTTCAGGTCTAATCCCGTGTCCTGAAGTAATCTGTTCATTCATCGCCTCAAACTGAATTGCTGCAGCTGAGCAGCGTGAGCGCAGAATCCTCTTACCCTGTAGCCCTCCTCGCCGTATAACTTCACCTGTAAATAGAAGTCAGCTATAATTAGGTGTGGGGCTCCCATCTGCCTGCACTTGCTACAGGGAACCTTAGTTCAGCGTGAATGGAATGGAATTTCCTGGGGTGTTCATCGGGGAAGGATGACCAGACCTGTCACTGAGATCCTTCGCAGGGGACAGCCCTGACAGCTCCTTCTCCTGTGTAATGCCAGGGTGCCGTTTCGGCTATCTGTTTCAGTTGGAAAACACAGCAGTACTTTAAGCTTGTAAAGAGGACGTGTGATCTTTGTTTAGTTGGACTAGCTGAAAAAAACCAACCCTGAACTAGTTTTCTCAAATTCTTCATGGTTTTTGGTCTTGTCAGTTCAGCAAACTGAACGAGCTGTAGTTGTTTTCAGAGTTTCACAGACAGTTGTAGTAGAGACGTATATACGAGGGAAAAAATGCATCCTGTAGAGCATCTGCTTTGGATGTGTATAAAATCAAAGTTTGTGGATTTTGTGTGTCTGGGGAGGAAAGGACCAGCAAACAGCAAATTCAGCTAACCTTATGTTTTTAAACCAAACAACGCCTCTCCCCCCCTCAAGTCTTTCTCAGCACAATGGTTTGGGGAGGTATGGAGGGCGATTTCTCCCTGGGCCATCTGGAAAGCGTATGCTTTTTGACTGGGACATTGGAGCTCTCTGCTGACAAGAATCTGGAAAATAAGATCGGTTGAATTTGTGTGTGTGCAAGCTCACCCTTAAGACGTGAGTGCATCTGATATTGAAGTTTTGGGCTGGACTGAAGCCCTGTATGTGTAAGAACAGCTAATGAGAATTTTACCTGAGCTTGTTTTATGTCTCCTAGGCCATTAGGAGTAAAAAGGTCTTGACTGATATCAAGCATGAAAAAGCACAAAAGAGGAAAGCCAGATAGTTAATGGAAAAATTGAGCTAATTCCCCTTCAGACTGCAATTTCAAGTCTTGTATAAGTGGACTGCGAAAGTAGGACTTTGTATCTTGAAAATAATTGCTGTAAAACCAAAGAGACCGTTGGTTCCCCAGGAAAACTGTGGGAGGGAGCAATCCGTGTGCTTTCACCCCGAGTAGCGAAACGCTGTCGTCTTGTCCGCAGGTTCTGCACACAGCAGATAACTCGTTGATGCCATAGGTTACGCTTCAGTCTGGGGGATAAACTAGGAAGCCCAGGAAGTCTGCATTGGGGCAGGACAGGTAACACTGCGGATGACTGCAGAAACCCAAACTTTGTAGGAAGAAATGCCCTCTTCCGTTACGGGCCATATTCTGCTAAGGTCTGAGCACCTGCGTAGCGCTCGGAGCAATTGGGCTGACGTCAGCACAGTATTTTTTGTACGTAGACTCCAGGGTGTGTGTTTTTGCAGAGGGGGAGGTGGTCTCTCGTTGGGCTAGAAACAAAGAAATCTTGTCGAGTGGCAGACGGTAATGGTTGTGATTGTCTTTCAGACTAACAGGGATGCCAAAGGAAAAATATGATCCTCCAGATCCTCGCAGAATTTACACCATCATGTCAGCAGAAGAGGTAGCCAATGGGAAGAAGTCACACTGGGCTGAACTAGAGATCTCGGGTGAGTTGATTTGGTTTTGAGTTTTGATTCACTGGAGTTGTTGGTGCCCCAGAATCACGCCAGATGCTTTCACCTAGGGGATCCTGTTGTGAAAACAGTTTTTCTGAGGTGGGGAGGAGGAGTAACTGACTTACTAGTTTGCCTTAGAGCTTGGCTGGCTCAGATTCAGCCCAGTTGATTTAAAACACCAACTCAGATTGGACGCAAGTTTTTGGGTAGCACATCTGCTTCCCTAGAACTGTACCTCTACCTCTATCTCTATCCTTTTAACTGGGAAGGTTAGATAATTTTTTAATGTCTGCTCATAGAAAAGATGCACAAAGGTATCTTCTGCAAGCATCACTGAGCGTTCCAGTGAAGAGGTAGTCGGGTTTCCACACTGGGAATCCCATATTCTGACATCCCCCATTGTTTGTATCTGATGGTTTGAGAGTGCAAACCTGACTGAAGAGGTGGTTCTTTGCTTTTCTTTTTTAGGTAGAGTGCGGAGCTTAAGTACGTCCCTTTGGTCGCTGACGCACTTGACTGCTCTGCACCTCAATGACAATAATCTTACTCGCATTCCACCTGATATTGCCAAGCTTCATAATCTGGTTTACCTGGATCTGTCATCCAACAAACTCAGAAGTTTACCAGCAGAACTAGGAAACATGGTATCTCTCAGGTGAGAGAAATTCTTCAGGTTAACTTTCCAAAGGTCTGTAGTCTGGGATTGGGACTGAGAATTTTATTTTGTTTTCCATTGTCATATTTAAAATAATTCTGAAAAATTCAAGATTGGTGCAAAGCTTCAGTTCTAATAATTACTTTTGGGTTCATTACCCCTCTTTTCTGATCTCTACAGATACATGTCTGTAAGCTGTGTAGTCTTCTGCTCGGGAACATTCTTTGAGACTTGGTGATTGCCTGCTGTTTAAATTCTCCCTGATTTAATTCTGTGTTTTGGGGTTTTTGTGGCTTTTTTTTCCCTAATGAAAGTATTTCGGTTGTGCTTTGAAATGGGAAGATTGGCATATCTTTCCATAATACAAAAAAAAATGAGGGTGAAAAGTGTCATCTTTGAAGATGAGCGGCATATAGCACTTCGAGAGTTTTCTTGTGAAGTGATACTCATCAAAAGTGTTTTTTGCATTTGCTGCAGGGAATTGCTTTTAAATAACAATCTGTTACGGGTTTTGCCTTATGAACTTGGACGGCTCTTCCAGCTACAAACCCTAGGTTTGAAAGGTGAGCAAGTTCTTTACAGTTAAATATTCCTGGGAGTACTCTTGAATTACTAAGGGGGCTGGGCTCAAAAGTTTTGTGTATGACCTCAACATCTTCTTACAGGTTATTTGACATCCTAAGCTTGTAGCAAAAATGGCCAGCCAATTTGGAAAACCATGCTTTTCTTTTTTAACACTATTAAGCTTCCTTACGACCCTATTTCAAATCGTAGGGAGATAAATAAACCCTTTAACCTGTTGTATTACTGATTGAGGTGAGTTGAAGGAGGGAAGTCTATGTGTACCAGCTATTTCTATGGCATTGGCTACTGTGGTATTCTACAGTTCCAAGTTAAGCAACCTAAATATCTTCTGGGTCAATTTGTCTGTTCTCGTTATGGGAGATTTTCTTTGGTTGGAAAGCCTCGAGAAAGTCAGGCAGCTAATCACCCAGTTGTTGTTTTATGCTGTTGGCAGGCAATCCTTTGTCACAAGATATTCTCAGCCTCTACCAGGATCCAGATGGAACTCGAAAGCTACTGAACTACATGCTTGACAATCTAGCAGGTGACAGCCCTACAAATCTGACTGACAGAAGTGGTTTAAAAGCATGCATTACTGACAGGATTTGCTGCTGAAACAAGAATCTGAGACACTGAAGGGAGGGTATTTTCTCACTGCTTTTGCATTTTTGTCAAGTGGTTCCAGTCGTACACACAAACACGCGCTCGCACACGGTGGAAGAGGTTGGCATACATTGTCTCAGCTTTTCCCACGTTACAGCCAGTTGTTCCCACTGATCTGTTTGAAACCCCTCAATTAGCAACAAAGTGCAAGGTCTTCATCGCTGAAGCCATTTAGATACTTTCCACTAGAAATTACAATCCAAATGCAAACAGCATGTTAAATTCAGATCTCGAAATACCACAGTGAGTAAGAATATCCAGTACCTGCCTTCAGTTGTGCTTTGTGGTCTGTAACTGAGCTTTCTGTATTGTCACGTGATGTCTACTAAATTAAAGCATTGCAGGGATGATGGATATAGGGTGAAGTTTTTGGAGAATGGGAATATAGGATGTCTAAACCCCTACAGGACTTAGCCTTCCTTCTTCAGCAGTATATTCAAGGTGCAGGAGTATTTCGGTGGCACCTCTAGATTTGAAGGCAAGAGACAAAAATTGTTACGAATCTTACAACTGCCCAATTTGCTCGTACTATAGCTAGCCATTGAAATGATTTTTGCCTCCCCTAGAGTGTTAAAAGACTTGGGGAGGTGGGTTTGCAAAGCACAGTATGGAACATTCTTGTTCAGTCATCATTTTGACTTAAAAATTGTAACTTACACATATAAACCCTGAATTAACCTCTGGTTTATCTTTTTTTTTTTTTTAGTTCATCCAGAGCAGCTGCCTCCAAGGCCGTGGATTACTTTAAAAGAACGAGACCAAATTCTGCCCTCAGGTAAATCTGTGGTTCTTCACCCTATCTTCCCAGAACGATGCGCTGAAAACCTTTTCTCTGGCTTTATTTGAAATAATTTCTCAGGAATAATAACAACTGTAAAATACCTGTATACAAATGCCATGCCCGTGCACTGGCTGACCAGAGCGAGACTTTGAGAAGTCCCTAACTGCAAGTAAACACGTGAAGTGCCTGTACCGAAGTTAATTTAATGCCCTCTATTGTTGCTTTTGGTAAAGTGCAAGAGGCAGCATTTCTTCAGGCTGTCCAAATCCAAGGGCTCTTCTTCCCCTGCGCATCCTGCGTATAGCCCTCAAAAAGCATCCGTGAGCTTGTATAAGGAAGAAAAATGCTCGTGTTGTTATTGCAGAAGATGAATAACCAGCAAGGATAGCGTGGCATTCCTCTACACCACTCCTTTTTAGAAGCGTGAAGGTGGCAGGTCTCTTGAACTCGGTTGTGTGTTTGGCAGGCTAGTGTTGCAGTTAAGGTCACCTGTGACTTTTTTTATATTAAAGAACAACAAACTAGAAAAAACAGTAGGAAGAAATGGGGAATGGCAAAAGTCCTGTAAGCCACCGCAACATTAAGTTCTGCATTTCTGTTGCAAATTCCTTTACAAATCGGTATCTCGGTGGAGTTTTATGGACTTTGGTTTCATTTTTTAAATGAAACTTCCAGAGCAGTAACAGATTTCTCAAGTCATTAGAAAACATTGTGTTAGGCGAGCGAGCTGGGAGACGTTTTGCTGCAGAAACTAACAAACCCATTAGTTGTTGTTATAACATTGAAATAACTCAAGAGCGGAAATCTTCTTTGACTTCTAGTATAAAAAAATAGAGCTGTGGAGTCACCTCATAGTAAAACCTCACTTACTTTTCTGCAAGTATGAGCAGTCTTTTCCTAGTGGCATGGTGCTGGGATATTGGACTTACCTATGTTTTTTGACTGGTGTAAAATCTAAGGGTGTTAAGAAGTTTGTGTGTGAAAGAAGTGTGTTTCGAGTTGAATGATCTGATGAGCAACATGCCAACTTCTCTCTTTTTTTTTTAAAAAATGCAACCAAATAATGTGCTTGCTCGTTTATGACTTCATTTCTTCTCCTCTTCCCTGCCCTCACCCAGACCTCTCTCCCCCCTGTGACTCGACAGACACAGATACAACTTAGAAATGTTGTACAGATGCTGGGAAAATTGTACGAATGTTTTGGAATCAGACTGCATAAAAATAAAGCATTCTAAAGCAGCATTTATCTGATGCTGTTGTATCATGACATAGTAACAGCACCCGTAGCAGCTTAGTTTTGCTTTTGCTTTAGGACTGTACAGGTCACTTAAGCCTGAAGTTGCTGTATCAGGGCGCCTCATGAGATAAATACTGGGTTTTGACTCCATCACGGAAATGGCTGCTACTTTCCCCCTCCTTACCCCCAAATCCAAAGACTGTTCCTAATCGTTGCCAGCCCCTAGATCTTCCTCCTCCTCAAAGGCAATAAATACCTGACCGCAGAATGGGATTGCATTGCTTTGTTACACACATGACGCCCTCTCATTTTGGTAGTAATGCTGATATTTTTTCAGGAAGAGATTAGCCTTGCATGGTAACACTGGCTCAGCAGGGCCTTTTTTACTCCTGCTCATGAAATGCTCAGTGGAATAAACCCACTGACTTGTGTTCAGTAGGCCCTCCAGAATACACCATGTAAGATTCAGTATTTTGGCTTGAATAAGCTCAGCCTTTTTAATCTTCACAGGTTGATAACCTTTCTCTTTCTTTCTTTCCTTCCAGCTTCATTCACAGTTATGTGTTACAATGTGTTGTGTGATAAATATGCCACCCGGCAGCTCTATGGCTACTGCCCATCTTGGGCACTCAATTGGGAGTATAGAAAAAAGGGAATAATGGAAGAAATTGTCAACTGCGACGCAGATATCATTAGTCTTCAGGTAACTGGAAGATAACTGTATTTTTCATCAGAAACAGAAAGCATTCACTTCCACCTTTAGAATGAAATGCTCTTTTGAGAACAGCATCTTCGCCTGCTTGCTAACAGATTCTGGGGTTGACCAGTAGAAGCTGTGTGCACAGTTTCTTGTTTCACACCCTGGCTTGTGTTTTATGAAATAAGGCAATCTAAGGGAGATAAAATTAGCTAAATTAGTAGCTATTTTGCATTGAAGGGTCTGGATCTTTTTCCCCTAAGTTAAGCATCCTAAATATTCTCCTTCTGGGTATATGGGGTTTACTGCAGAAGGGGAGAAGGTAGGATGCTGTAACCCTAAATGCTACCATTCCTAGTTCATTCCTGCTTGGTACAGGAGTCAGAGTCTCAAAAATATTCTCATTGGCAAACAAGGGGACTCTCGTGGTCAAAGTTAAATATCGATTGTCATTGGTACGTGTACCCTGCTGTTACTAGAAATATATTGCCGATGTTTAGAACGGTTTAACATGTCTGCATTTAAACCAAACATGCGTTTTTTAAGCAAGTTCTGGTAGGCAAAAATCTTGCACAAGAAGAGAGTAGTTACCTTGGTCTGAAAATCTCAAGAGACCAACCTCTGAAATCCTCACGGAGACCAAATGTTACTACAAAGAAAATGTATTGTTACAGAAAAGCGAGAGCCCCTTGTGCAAAAGAGCTCTCCAAATTAAATATTCATCACTGCTGGATATCTATCTACCTCTCTGAAGTTTTAACCTAGTGTCCTAGGTACCCGCATTCAGATGTCAGATATATCAGGTGTAATCTACTGCTACCCAAAATACAGCTGTCACTTTCCAGGATATCCATGAATGCAAATCTGTTTCCAGCAGGCCATTAAGCTAGGAAGTGGCATGATTTGTGCCAACAGAAGCTTTTTGCTTTGGTGAGAGCTGCTGACCGCAAGCCAAGCGGGCCCAAGTTGCCATACAGCGATAGGAAGGGTTTGCTTGACTTTGTTACCTTAAGCTATTTGTGTTCGATTCCAGGAAGTGGAAACAGAGCAATACTTCACCCTTTTTCTGCCAGCTTTGAAAGAACGAGGATACGATGGATTCTTTTCTCCAAAGTCACGTGCCAAAATCATGTCTGAGCAGGAGAAAAAACATGTGGATGGCTGTGCAATATTCTTCAAAACCGAAAAGTAAGGGGCAGGAGCAGCTCTGTAAAAACATATTGACCAGGTTGATTTAGGTCTGAAAGGTTTTCTCTCTCAGGGTGCGTGGTAACCAAAGTACTGTGCTATGAAACAAAAGATAAAGAGTGATCTTCCCTTTTGCTGCTCTATTTGCCACAGAGTCCTGCCATTCCTTTCAGACCATGAACAAAGATACCTCTTCAGAAACATGAAAGTTGCAGGAGAGCTGGTATGGATAAAAACTTAGGTGCTTTGTGTGTGCATTTTTGGCAGATCTAATAAATACCTTCTGTACAAACTTTTGCCTTGCTCAACACAAGACTCTCTAAGATTAACCTTTAAAGAACTATAAGCTGTGCTTCAAGTATTGAATCTTCAGGTATTAAAAGAGGAATTACTGCCAAAGGATCATAGAATAGTCTCTGCTTTTAGGAGAGTTACATTATTGAATACCTGATCCTAAAAGTTCTGCTATGCTAAAAGCATCAAACTATTGGGAAAGGAGGTGAGGTGCTGGTGTTTGTGCTTCTCATTTGTGGAATCTGCTCAGGGTTGTACCACACCGAGTATCCTTCTGAATATTCCCTCAGGACAGTTTTCAGTAATTAGAATGGGAGTTTCACAAGGCTTTAGCTCCCTTTCAGAGCTTTCATTGCTTCCAGAAACAAAAATACATCTTTCAGTTCATGTATAAAAATAACTCCACTGGTTTTGAATAAAGTCTGTGGAAACAAACGACTGATATTTTTCAAACCCTCAGACCCTGATCCTAACAAAGATATATACAGAACTGGTTATTATGATGTGGCTCTTTCAGTTAAAAAACAGAAAAAAAATTTTTTTTTGCTATTAATACTTTTAAAAAAAATTTCTAAGAGAGCAAACCCAAAAAACCCTCTTTCAGTGGGTAGCCTTCATTTGGTCCTGAAGCATTTTCAGGCATCCTAAGGCTGGATAGAAATGAAAAAACAATTTCACAAGACTAATGGTGATAGCTAGTGATTTGAAAGAAGCTGTTTTTTAATAATGCATTTGCCCAAAGTAAAAGGCAAGCCTTTAATTACCATCTCGTCTTAGTTTTTTGCCTAGAACACTGCTGAGGAGGTGCGGGAACCTCTGAGCGTTGCTCTGAGTTGCCCTTTCAGAGCGCTGCGCTGAAACAAGCAAACACTTCCTAAACCCCAGGTATCTCATCTCCCCTGAGAATATCTCACTTGCCAGACTGAGCGCTCTATCCTGACTAGGGGAATATTTCTTAGAACTGTTCTTACTTTTAGAAAAACGAGAGGGCAGATGTGCCTCACCCTGTCCTGCAGGCTCTGTCCTTGGACGTGGTAGGCTGGAGTGTAGATAGAAACCATCTCTTTTCACGTAGCTGTAGGTCACCCGTGTTCACACGCCGTTCTCTTTGTTGAATCAGATTTACGCTGGTGCAGAAGCACACCGTGGAGTTCAACCAGGTGGCGATGGCTAACTCTGAAGGTTCAGAAGCTATGTTAAACAGAGTGATGACGAAGGACAACATCGGAGTCGCCGTGGTGTTAGAGGTGCACAAAGAATTATTTGGAGCAAGTGAGTATGGCCGTGGTTCTCTCACTGACGATCCAGTTCCCTGTGAAGGCAGGAGTTGTTCTATAGGCAGTATGGCGCTCTAGGGTGTTATTGCCACTGCGGGTGGTAACCGAATACTTGCAGATGAGCAAACGCTGTCTGCTGTGCTGATTTGAGAAATCGCACCGAACGGCTAAGACAGGACACAGATAACATGGTTTCCTAGTCTGGTTGCACTCGCAGCCTGATGCCCAGCATTTAGCATCTTTCTTTCAGGCTTTTGTCCCTGCTTACTTACTCGGTTAAATTCTACTGGAAGGATTATGCTTTTCCAAGGTCAGTGTGTTTGCATGAATATGCTCTTACCAATAGTTGTTGAGAATGTTCAACTTCTGTTTTCAAACCCTTTTTTCCCTTTGATGGAATCCGTCCATCCTCCCTCAGTGATTATATGACAGTGTTAATCTGCCAGTGTGGAAGACTGAGATTATCAGGTATCTTTTCATGCCACTTGATCGACTGACTGTCACATTTTCATTAAGTTTGATCAGATGCAGCAGGCAATTTCCACATATTTAAAATTGCCACCCTGCTCTGTCTGCGTGTCTGGTTTTTTGATCGGCTGTTTCCAGTGTACCCTTCAAAGCAGCAGAATGTCTGTGTTGCAGGGCTGGCAGGAGCTGCCTGTGACTTTATGCCCCAGCTTTCAGAGGCCTGTTTCTCATATAAAGAGTAACACCAGCTATAGAACTTTGCACAGCCAGGTTCATACTGAATTAATTTAAGCAAGTTTTTTCCCGAGGGAACAATTTGCCGTACCGTGGCAGCCGGGAGTCAGGGAACTCCCTTGTGCCTTAACCATTGAATAGTGGTGCAAGTGGTGCCAAGTGATGACTACTGGAGCAGCAGAGAAGGAATGCAGTTGTAATGGTATCAGATTATGCTGGCTCTTTCTTTCCTGCATTGGGGAGATTTAGTCACATAATATTATGTAATTGCTGCTAATTTAGGAAGGAGTAGTGGTTCAGGTAATGCCTTTTTTTCCAGCAACATCCTGACTTTGAGTCCTCAGTAGCTAAACTAATGCGAACGGGAGGGAATCTGCTGTATTTACACAATCGGCCTTTCACTGATAAAAATGCATTTGTCTATCTAGGTATGAAATCGCTTCATGTGGACAAACAGCTGCTTATTGTGGCCAATGCCCACATGCACTGGGACCCTGAATACTCTGATGTGAAACTCATTCAGACCATGATGTTTGTCTCGGAACTGAAAAATATCCTCGAGAAAGCCTCGAGCAGGCCTGGCAGCCCAACAGCAGATCCTAACTCTATCCCTCTGGTGCTGTGTGCGGATCTCAACTCACTGCCTGATTCAGGTAAGACTGGGTTTGGCTTAACTTTTAGCTTACCTTTTCAGTACATTTGAATCCTCTTTTCCTCAGAGAGTGATGGGGCAGTTTGCATTTCCCTGGGTAGGGATGGATCAAAACTTTCTAGTAACAGCTGTCTTTAGAAATCTGGCTGGAGAGAATGCAAGTCCTCCAGTTGAGTATACTGCTTTTTGTGAGTTGTACACTCCAGGAAAGTTGGTTGCACCTACAAAGATGTAGAAAAGCACAAATAGGTCTTAAATATTAATTGTTAGATAAATACCCATGCTTTGCGCAGCAGTAACAAGTAGGAAAGACGTGAGTTCGTGATGGAACTTAAATACTTTCTACGGAGATGGGTTTGCTTTAGTGATCACGATGTTCAGTACTGTAATACTGGGTATACGTACAAAAGCTGCCTCTCTAGCACCCCAGCACTTGCGTACTACGGTTACAGGTACTGTGGGTTTACTGTAATCCTCAAAAAATGGGGTCAAAACCTCTGGAAAGCCTCAGTTCCCTGCTGCGTGTCAGAAAGGCGCACGGCTCCGGCGTGGACGAGCCAGCTGCTGCGTAGATTTCCCCTCAGAGGGAAAGCTCTTTTCTAATCTCACGGGGTGTCTTGGTGGTGGTTTGGTTTTTGTCTCCGAGGCCAACATTCCCTGAATGGTGTATTTTAAAGCAACTCCCTGAATCCTTTCCTTTGCAAACAGGTGTAGTGGAATACTTAAGCAATGGCATAGTAGCTGACAACCACAAGGACTTCAAGGAGTTGCGTTATAACGAGTGTCTCATGAACTTCAGTGGCAATGGAAAAAACGGGGCTTCTGAAGGAAGAATTACGCATGGCTTCCAACTCAAGAGCGCCTATGAAAACAACTTGATGCCTTACACCAATTACACTTTTGATTTCAAAGTAAGCAGCGATTTTTCTGAAATGGCAGGTGTTGACCTGGTCTCCCCAGGACGGTGTCTTAGTTCTCTGACCATTGGCTGTATTTCTCTTTGTTCCTGTAAGTCCTTCATCAGTGGTTCCTCCACTCGCTGGACACTTGCCTACCACACACAAATCCTTGATTTGCCGGTGTTTTTAAGTTTCCAGCCTGGCTCTGGCCAGTGACTTAATGAGAACGGATGCAGCGCTTTGAACACAAAACGCCACACGCGTTTCTTACCCTAATCCCAGTGAATTGCAGCCAGAAGCCAGTCGAGTTCAGGTTGCCAGAAGCGAGGTCTGTTCTCACTGTCGTGTTTCTCTTTCTCCCTAGGGTGTGATTGACTACATTTTCTATTCCAACACTCACATGAACGTGCTTGGTGTCCTGGGGCCTTTGGACCCTCAGTGGCTGGTTGACAACAACATCACTGGGTGTCCACACCCTCACATCCCTTCAGACCACTTCTCACTGTTAACACAACTCGAACTCCATCCTCCGCTCCTGCCTCTTGTCAACGGTGTGCACTTGCCTAACAGGAGGTAGTGGAGCCCTGCCCCTTTGAGGGCAAGGACCTGTTGTTATGGACCTGTACAGTTGTAAATCAAAGTATATAGGAGTGAAGTATGGCCAACCTTAAGCTGCTTCTTCGAGCTCCTTTCCTTATGTGTTTGGTATGAGATTTTGCACATTTTGGTGCATATTGGTATCATTTGGCACTAGGGCTGGAACCAAAGTATTACTCCCTTTCCAGGTTTTTAATTTAATTTTTTTTTTTAAACTGGCAAGCTTTTTTTTTTCAGTAAGAAGCTGCACTTATAAATGGACAAATGAGATGATTGAAAACTTGCTTATTAACATATTTCAAGATAATGCTTTTTTCCAGAACGTGGCAAAATGAGCCAATGAGTAGCAGAAAGAAACACAAAAATAGAAATGCTTGTTTTGTAGGAAGAATAATAGAATAATATAATGCTTGTTTGAACCCAAAAACGGAGACCAAACTCTGCATCCAAAATAAATTTTGCACATTAGCGAAGCACTTAATACCGGTCTATAAATGATTAGCAGTGTGGCCCTGCCCCTTGTCTAACTAATATTAGAAAACCAAAGATGGCTTAATATCTGTGATAAAATTTGAGGTCTAAATTCTTCTGATGTAATTTAATTTACAAGGAAATCTCATTGTAAATGAACTTACACTGAAATTTCCAGCATTCATTTACAATGAAATTCCCAGCTACATCTCACAAGACTTTGCAGGTGAGCGTTTGCTGCTGTGTGTAGATCACTTGCTTGGCAGATGCCACGCTGGCTTTTTTTGGAGCTCTGAAGAACTCGGTCCTTTCTGGGCAAGGCACGCAGGGATCCACAGGACCTCTGCAAGACAGAGCTGCCTCTCCGCTTCGGCAAGCCGGGGCGACACACTGTTCAGCAGCACAGTTTGGGAGCGGGACTTAGAAATGGTAAGAAGTTGCACTTGAAGTGAGCATTAGCAAGCGTTTGGGTTCCAGGGGAATAAAGAAGTTGCAAATCCGTCCTAGGTTCCCTTTTCTGAGGTTTGGTTTCAAAGATGGGAAACGTGGGATTAAATGCTTAAGCATAGGGTACAGGAAAAAGCCACAGGAAATGATCTTCCTTCTGTCTCCGAAGGGCACGTGGAGTAGCTGTGGGCATGCTTTTTTCACCGGGGGAGCGAGCAGTAGCTGTAATCATTCCTTGGATTATTTTTCCTGACCCTAGTTGCCAAATAACCATCACACTTTTAAAAATAATCTTTCTTTTCTGTTGTCGGTCAGGGTTGAATTAAAAAGCTGCTGGTTCATTCCCAACTGTTAATGCTCTTTGGATGTGTTGGAAATCTTCTCTCTTCTTTTTTTTTTTTTTATGCTCTAGGTGGCCAGTTCAAAACCTTGTGCCTCAAGGGGCATTAAACTTAATGCAATTTTCTGAAAAATTGGTTGGCTGCTTAATGTTTAAAAAAAAAAAATGGCACAGTGATAAGAAAAGGTTGTGTCTGTGTTTTTAAGTTTTTCTTTATTCTGCTTTTTTGCTGTTATAAGATTTTCTTGAATTTATATTTTAAACTTTTCATGCACTTTACTGTTTCTAGTCTCAAAATGTGATATTTTTAATAAATGAAAATCTTTTCCATTATGTGAATGAAATTTTTAAACAGATTGATAGCCTATATTTATGTCTCATTCGTATACTTAAAAAAGTCAAATTTAAATTGTGAAATTAGTTTTAAATACTAAGGAGCCATCTTCTGTCTTGCAAAACTGCTAAGTCAGGCTGTTCCTCTACTCTTTAATTGAACATTTCCTTTGTCGTTTTATACATAGGAAATTATCCATAGGGGAAAAAAAATCAATTGGACCTAGAGTAGAAACTATTCCCTGACTCTCGTTGGGGGCTGAGGAGGGGGCGGTGTGGGACAGAACGCAAAAATCGACTCAACGAAACGACAACTCCCTTTGCAAAAGAAGTGCCTAGAAAAACCATGGAGGCGTCACCTACAGCCTACAGTAAATTGGACGTGATCGTAGCTGGGTGAAATTCCTGTACAGCAATTGCTTTGTGCAGCACAAAAAAACAAACAAACAAAAAAAAAAGCCCTTTCTAAAGATGGATTTTCCTCTAGGTGCAGGTATCTCTTTTTTAATATACCTCAGCGTTCGACACCTAGCCATTGCAGATAAATTGCGAGAGTATAGTACTGGAAAGTAGAATAGCATGAAAAACTTAATTTTGTGGACATCACCTTTCTGTAATCAGCTACTGTATCTTTTTTGGAGGGTGGGGTGCTCTGCTCTGGAGGTGTGCACTAACGAACCCTTCTCCTCCTTTTCCTACACGCATGTTAACTAGCAACGTGAGCAATATTTCCTACCATACTTCACTCCCAATATTTTTTGAGATGTTTGTATAAAATGGAATTTAAAATTCACCTATGATTGTATATGAACTGCAGAGGAGCCCGTTTATTAATAAAAATAAAAACCAACAACAATCTTTTGTAATATCGGGGTGGGAGAGGATGGGGATGAAAAACCAATATCCTGGCAAACATTGTAAACTGCTTAAGTTTGACTTTCCTTTGGTTTCTAACCGACTGAAGTGTTCCGTTGCGGGAAGGTGTTTAATTGGATTTTCTCTGCTGCGAAACGCACTTCCAAACGGCCATTACCCTGTGCGATTTTTTTAAAAAAACCAAGTTATTTTAAGAGACGTTGCACAAAACCTCTGGATTTAAAAAAATGAGTCTCGTTTATGTTTCAGTCGATGCACGTAACTGGGGACATGTTTACCCGCCTTTCACGTGTCTGGCTCCCTCCCCGTTTTCCTTCTGGTTTCCTCCCTTCCCAGCAGGAGCAGTAAGGGGATTGTGCTTTTTTTCCAGCCGAGCAGAAACACCCTCCATAGGGATTTTCGGCTCTTAGAAGAGAGGGAGCAGGCAGCTGTCAGCCTCGTGCGCAGGATGAGATCCCTTGCGATAAACATACGCATCGTCCAGATGGCGACGCTAATTTTCTTTTGACCCAGATGGAAGCTGACGGTAGGGTGTTTTCTAGGGAAGAAGGAGTAATATCTGTAACCTTAAGCAGAGATAGATGGGAAACCATCGGTTCTCTCCACCCCTGTCCCCCAGTTCCCAGCACGTCGCGGTGCCCTCGCATCTGACGCCTGGAAAAAACGCCCTAAGTCCTTTACTGCTCCTCACTGGCTTGGTTCACTTTCAAAAATATGGTGCCTGGTGTCAACTTCTAAGCAACAGCACTGCCTAAAGCAAGCAGAGAAAAAAAAATCCAACATCCTTCTACAAGCAACTTTTTAAAATTCAATATGGTAAATCTGTTACATATGGGGTTTTGTGTGTGTATATATATATATATAAAAAAAAAAAGCAGAGAATTTTGTACAATGTAGCTGAATATTTTTGTTTCTGTATTTCAATGTAAGGAGCGTGAAGATTTGCATACCACACGCTGAAGTCAGGTATGGCACAATGGGGTCCGAGACCAGCTTTCCTTCCCATTTGCCTCGTTAAAAAGCTTTTGTCGTCCCTTTCTAGCATTCGTTGAGAAAATATTTCCTTTTACTGGTAAGCTTTCTCTGTCTGTTGGGAGCCACTCCTGTTTAGTCTACAGACTTGTTCAGAAAAGGCCTCATTAGTCCAAAGTCCTCGCTGTTCTGTGTTCTATAGACTAGAAAGCCAAAATCTTTGACCCTTAACTTTTTCAGAAGCACTTGCCACTGATGTAACGCAGCTTTCAAAACCGTACCGTGATCTTCAGCGTTCGGGAAACGCTGCGGATGGCCGACAATCTCCCATCTTGCTGGCTTTGCTGCGGAGACTCCTAAATCCACCTTCATGCTTTTTAACTCCTGAGACCCACTTTGCAAAGATGCTGAGCATCTGCAGCTCCCACTTAATCTCGAATATTGGGCTTCTGGGGACCGTCTTTCCACACCTGGCTCGGGAGATATTGGGTCTGAATCGCGAGCGAGAATTTGAGACCTCAAAGGTTCATATCACTTGTTTCTCTGGGGGTTGGTTTTGCTGAGGTGGCAGGAGGCAAGCCGAAAGGGCTTGTCGAAATTCAGAGTTTTTGATAATTTAGAAGACAGGTTGGGGATGCACTTTAAGAATTCTTAGACCAGGAGCACAGTATTCCCGCCTTCTTAGTAGGGAACAGGAGACAGAAGTGGCTGGGGGTCCTTACTATGGGAAGACAAGATTTAAACCCAGCAACATGGCAGCAGGTCCTTCATTTCCACGATGCTTTTTCAGCCTCTAGCATCCAAACGTCCCTCAGGCACAAAACTTGGCATAGTGGGTTTGAGTGAAAGGTCTTTTAGCCCTAGCCAAACCAAATCAGCAGCCTGTGGTAGAAATATCACACAGACACGATGCTGCTTTAGAAGGGACTCTCATCACAAATAGCAGTTGTCCCCTCCCCAGCGACCTCAGCTTAGCACGTAATTCCGATTCCTCTGTTCTTAACTTCTACATAGACACTTTTCTTGTAATGGTAATGAAGATCTAAGGCCCAGTTTTAACCTAAGGAGGCCCTTCTCCCTGCTCTGCTGGGAGATGACTGCTCTAAGCCCGTCCTTACCTGGCATGCTGGTACACGAGGCAGCAGCACGAAATTCAGCTAAAACCGAGCTGTCAGCATAAGAATGCAGCGGGTCGTGGTCCTTCTTGGTCACCACGGAGGTGCGATCCTCTTCTGGGTGGTCTTTGCGACCAAAACTGCCTGGTAGGAAGCGAAGCGGCCTACAAGACCCGCTGAAGTTTGCGTTGACTTCAGAAGTGGTACGGTTTCGGCACCAAGCACGAGTCCTGCTCCAAAAGGAGCTGAAGTGCTTGGTCTTGGAGTGGTTTTACCCAGGGGGAGCCGAGGACCGGGTTTGCTGTGGACCAGAAAAGAAATGAGCCTTAGATGCAGAGGTTTGGGTTTTTCTGCTAGACACTATCACTAGTTGAGTCCCTCCATCTCACAGTGAGGAAAAGCCTCTTGGGATACGCAGCTCATCAA